AATAATAATAATAATAATAATAATAATAATAATAATAATAATAATAATATAAACATGGTCAAGTATGATAGCTCAGGATGAAAGTCTTCACCATGCAGTTTGCTTAAAAGAATCAGCATGGCTTTTCTATAGGCTCTGTGCCACCTGGATATGCCTTGTCTAAGAGAAATCGGATATTGTGATTATATTTTTATAGATGGCGACATTAGCCTCCTGTTTAGCTCTGTCTAGTTATATTAAGGTACTACAAAGAACTAAATAAATACACACATTTATAGAGAACCCTTTCTAAAATGTGCAGTTTGTCTATGTCTATGAGGATTCTAAATTGCTCCTGACGATCAAGCCCAGGCACCTGAGAGCTGCATGTTTAGATGGTTGTTCCTGCCCATGTTCCAGCCCATGGCTGATCACCCAGCAGAACTTAGTGTTGGCATTTTGCCATCGGTTTGAAGGCAGGAACTGCTACAAGTGCACAGAGGAAAGTCTCTGTTAGACTTCCTCAGATGCAGTGTCTGAAGGCAGTACATCATATTTTGACCTCTTTATCTATGTACCCATGGGACACATTTCTTTCAGGGCCATGTGCCAGAAAAAGCTATATATGGGAAATATAAAATTTTAACTGATCATATTTCTGTCTTGGCTTTTAGCTGAAAAAAAAAAAATCAAAGCATCAGATTTGTGAGCCATCTCTGCTAGTAAAAGGATTGCATCTACACTATTGGTTTTAGTCTAGCATTGAAAGACAAATCTATTATTTTCTTTCACCTGGAATATTGAGATCAATACTCTTGTCTAGCTTTTCTTAGAGAACGTATTTGTTTAAGTTTCTTTAATCTTCCTTTTGGAGGGAGGGTGAACTTTTGTATTGAGCATGAGTGACTCCAGACTAACCCACAATTACTGAACCACTTTCTCAGCCATTGCATTCTCCGCAGTCTCTCTAGTGGGTGCTGGATAATATAGAATTCAGCAGAAAATAAAGTGACAGGTGGACCACTAAATTCCAGTGTCTATTACTCAATCTCTGCTTCTGAGCAGTATGTTCACAAGGGGCTCTGTTACAGTCGTTTGATTGTCTAGTATGCAGAAAAAGAGAATCTGTTAACATAAAAATGAACATTTATTCAAATATATCATAAAGCTGTAAGATGCCTGAAATATTAAGATATTCCTAAAAAGTACCCATTTTGTTATGGTATCTTTCTGTAAAACATTTATGAAGATCTTATCAATCTAGTTATCAGAAAATTAAACTGAGATTAAGCAACACAATACAAGAAAATACAGAAAAAGTCATCCCTTATTTTAAAAAAAAATTATAAAAAGCAAAATACTTGCCATTCCCTATCTCTCTTATTAATGTAAAAGTTGAATTGATATCTATGTCTTGATTCTCATATCCCTTACTATAGTCCAAACAAACTTTCTTCATGCATTTTTTACTTAAACATACTAGTTTTCTGAAAGGATAAAATGTTCCAAACTAATGTAACTTTTACAAAAAAGATGTAATACACATTGATATACAAACATGGCATTTAACAACTATATATTTCTTTTATCATTAATAAAGTTTTATGTGTTGTAACAATTATAACTGCATAGGTCATTTTATCTGTTTTATGTATTTTCTTTATTAAAGACACAATATTTAATCAGTATATAAGTAATCACAATTAAAAAGTGAAGGTATTAAAGAGGTAATTTTTCTTTTCTATTAATTTTTAAAATTTAATTTTATATATTTATTATGTATTTATTCATTATAATTTATTCACTTTGTATACCTGATGTAGCCCCCTCCTTTGTCTCCTTCCAGTCCTACCCATCCTCCCTCTTCTCTCCCTATGCCCTTTCCCTAGTCCCATGGTAGAGGAGGATCTCCTCCCCTTCTATCTAACCCTAGCTTATCAGGTCTCATTAGGACTGGCTGCATCATCTTCCTCTGTGGCCTGACAAGACTGTAACCCCTAGGGGAAGGTGATCAAAGAGCTAACCACTGAGTTTATGTCAGAGACAGCCCCTGTTCCCTTTACTAGGGTACCCACTTGGAGACTGAGCTGCATGGGCTACATCTCTGCAGAGGTTCTAGTTATCTCCATGAATGGTTCTTGGTTGTAGCATCAGTCTCTGCAGGCCCCCCAGACCCAGGTATTTTGGCTCTATTGTTCTTCTTGTGGAGTTCCTGTCCCTTCCAGGATACTGAGACTCATAGCCAAACTTTGGGCAGAGTGCTGGAATCCTTAAAGGGGTATTTTTAATAGTAAGACTTTGGAGAGATGTAAATTAATTAACATTGTCTATCATATACCAAATTTTATTCCAAAGTTCTCCTCCTTGATTGTGAGTTATCATTGTCTGTAATATTATTTTTAAAAAAAGGCACTGAAACTCAAGTCTGACCCAGAAGATTCAAATTCAGATGTCTAATTATTAGTCCTTTAGCTCTGACACCTTGGATGATGACACTTTGGGAGCCACCCAAGCCTAACTGCTTATCCATTGCATCTTCATGGACTGCTCTGTACCTCCTGGGAACACTCTAAACATTACATTTAATGAATGCACTGGTGAAATCCAAGCATTGTCTCTATTGAAAGATTCCGTTCTCTCTTATGTGATGACAATATAAGGGACAATTCTGCAGCGGTGTTTCTAGATGGACTTAGCTCCCCAAGGTCAGTTATCAGTACCATGATCTATTGGGCAGAGGATATTGCTTGATTGGTAAAGTGCGAGTCACATGAGCATAGAGACCTGGGCCATCCCCAGCACCCATGTAAAAATCCAGATGCTGTGGAACATGCTTATAACCTCAAGGCTGGGAAAGTGAAGACAGGCAGATTGATGCAGACGAGTACAATCTGGCCAGCTAGTAAAGAGTAATTCATGAACTGGCGGTTCCAGTGAGAGACAACCCTGTCTCACAAAGCAAGATGGCCAGTTCCTGGGGAATAATACCCAGGTATAATGTTCTTTACAGTCACTCACATGCACAATAACACACACACACACTCACACTGTATAAACATGATGGTGTCTAGTACATAAAACACTATCAGTAAAGGCCAGGTATTTACCATAAGCATGTGTCCTTATATACATGTAAAGCTCAATCCTGTTGAAGCCTTGAACCCAACTCTCTGGTAATCATAGCTACTAATTCACGTGATTTAATTATTAGGATAACAGCCCTTTATTGAGCATGCTAGCAACTGCATCTAATTCCAGTTCTCAAGAGTATGAGCAGGAGGATCATATTCAAAGCTGGCCTAGACCCCTCTTCCAAATACAACAAAATAAAGATCTGTCTACACAATTACGCATAGTTTTCAATTATAAAGCAAAAACTTGACAACTTTGCACTGTAAAAGGTAGTAAAAGCCGTGCTTGCATCTGGAGAATTTGTAACCCGAATACCCAGCAACAAGCAAGTATCACCAACAGAAGCATCCGATTCAACAGTCTAAGAAGTGCCAAGAAAGCATGGTAAATCTCAAACAGAAGACAATACACAGATGGCAAATGGGCCTGTGAGAAGATGTTCTATTTAATAAAAAACTCAAATTCAGATTATAGTGAGTACTCTTATCCATGGCTCAGGATAGCTGAAATAAAAGTTCCTGTGGAAGCTAAACACTAATCGCTGACATGCCTCAGCCAAGAATATGAAACGATCGAGCAACTGTAAAAGACAATCAGGAGGAGCTTTAGAGGCTGACCATAGGGGTGAGCCAATGGCTTAGGGCGGTAAACTCTCATCCCACAAACATGGGAACAGGACTTAAAATCCCCAGAACTCAGGTAAATCTCAGCAGGTATGACTGATGCCTATAATCCAAGCACTGTCAACAAGACACCTTGTCTTAGTAAATGAAATGAAGAATGATCAAAGAAGACACTCAGTGTCAACTTTAAGCCTACACACACACACACACACACACACACACACACACACACGCATGCACACACACACTACATTTGCTCACACAAATGCAAACATATTACACACACATATACATAAGACGGAACAAATACATAAAACTTAAGTATTATTCTTACCAAAAGACTTAATAATTGGACA